ACACGGCCAGTCTTTCTCATTCGTGTTACAGGTGGGTGGGGTAGCTACTTGAAATTGTGACTCACGTATTCTTGTGTGTTTTTAATTACTACTGGAAGAATAAAACCAGCAGAGATAAGAGAATAACCTGACTCCAATGTTTCAGAGAGGCTGGTAATCTTCGGCTGCCTCCAGGGGTGCTGGCCTGATGGAACAGGCTTTTCATCGGAGATAAGCGTCCCATACCGCAAGCATCTTTAAAGAAATGGTGCAAATGAGGAAAAAAGTGAGGCACAACTCCCCAGAGCACATAATCCCTCTCAATCTCTGTAAATACCTAGGTGTTTTTACACTGTCAAATGGGCAGGTGTGAATCATAAAAGAGCTACCATTAAGGAAATCTATTCTTTCCAAAGGCAGCTCCTCTTCAATTTTAAACTCAGCATAAGTACGGTTTAAGTGACATTATTAGACACAATCAACATGTGACAGGCAGATGCTGCTCAGTTTAAATTTCTTCACCAGTTCATTGAATTCCGCTCCCTTTCTAGATATTTGTATTTTTAATGAAAAAAGCTTTTTGTGTGTGTGTGTTACTGGGTACTCCTCTACAAAATCTCTTCTGTGTTTATTTCTGATGTATCCCTTCTTGCTATTCTTTAGATCTCCAAGAAAATTCCAGGATTTTAGCTAAAAGGTTATTTTATCTTTGGTAATGCGGTGGTTTTGATTTTCTTCTGACCACTTAGAAGGTATCTAATTTTTTTGCCTCTGTTTCCTCCTCCTTCTTAGAAAAGTAAAGTGTACACTTGCAAGGAGGAATTTCCTAGTGATTTTAGACCTCAAACTTATCTTCATTGCTTGGCAGAGAAAACCTTTCAGATGCTGACATTCCCAAATTAGTTTCAGTTAAGACACGGCGTCCACACACCACTTCACCTAGAATCATTACTACTGGAGAAGTTTACAGCTTATTTGTCGGCCTCAACTGAGTTCACCCTTAACATTAGGAAAGCTTAAAGACTAAGGTCGCATGCTTGTTCTGGCAAGAAATCTTGACACCGGAAGCAGAAACAATGAATAACAATTATGTAAAAAATAAGATGTAACTAGAAAAGCATTCTTATCTTGTTAGTTAGAATTGACTTTGCTACCCCGTTATCTGAGGGAACAAATTACCAGCATTCTGCCTGGTAAATGCACCCACTTAAGAACTGATGTTTAATGTCTTAATATCTCACCTCCTCTCCAGGATGGAAAGCTGTTCCCAACAGCAGCTTCTTGGAGCAGCTTGCTCTTCCTTGGCCAAGATGCAGTTCTTCTTTCCATTTTCTCTCATCCCTTTCTCTTTCTAATCTGCTATTCCATGTAAATGCAGCATTTGAAGCTTTCCATTTTTCCCGAGTTTCCTTTAAGTTAACGATCTTATTCTATTTATTCGCTTAAAGAATGTTACTATACTCTGTAGATCATAAAAATCACTAGTCACACAGCAGTTGTGTCAGTTTTGAAGTTCTCATTGAGAAATTGCACGTGAACAGCACAGATGACAGATAACACCCCCACCTTTGGTTGAGGAACTTGCACTGCCATGACACATGCAGTCCTGTAAACCCCTTCACTTTTCTAACATGAAGACTCGCTCTGGTTTCTGGCTTATTTTTAATATGAGATAAAAGCCATCATTTTGTTTTCATCAGCTACCTCCTACATACCTAGTACTGCCATTCATGCTGTCCTGGCACACAGCACGGTATTGGAAGACCATTCCTCATCTCAGGAACTGAACAAAAGATGCACCTAAATCCACTTTTAAAGGTAAAAAGTGTTTCCAGTTACAGGAGCAGTAACTACCTTTTGCATAAACATTGTTGCTGCTCTTAAAACTTCTATTGTCATTGAAACTTTGAATTTTTGATCAGGTTTGTTCAAAGCTTTTCTTGAAGTTCTTGAAAGGAGTCCAGTGTCTCCTAGGCTCAAACTTTCATTCTCCAAGGAGCAAGGTTTGACCAGTTCACAGGGAGCAATATACCAACGCATGGGATAAAGTTCACAGCCATGGTTGCTCTGCCTTGAAATTGTGATAAGTGAGTATTACTGCCCTGGCAAAGTATATCCTAATTACCTGAAGCTAATGCACTCTTTCTAGTCCCAACATCTGGCCTTTCTCCACCTGCCTACAGTCCTTCTAAAGCACTGTTTACTTCACTGAATAAAGTACTTTGGACTTTTTAAGGACGTGGCAGAGCAGCTGGTAACAACTCTAAGCGCACATGCCTGAGCAGAGAAAGCTAGAGGTATGTTTTGCAGGAAATGGTATTTTGAATTAAAAGAATAAAAAAAAAAAGATGAGGGGGAAGGATCCTGTAGATAAAAAAATTAGTTTTCCAAATGGTTTGCAGGGCATTGGTGCTTGGTTTTGGAATGCGAGGAGTTTTTTTATTCCTCGATTCTGGACCTGGCAGGAAGCAACTTAGTAAAACTGCAGGAGGGAAGACAAATTCAAAAAAAAGCACACTTGAATTCAAAGAGCCTCATTAAATAGAAAACGAGCAATGCCAGCCACATTGTTGGTGCAGTGGATTCTTGTAATGCAACAGCAGTTCTAGTAAAAGCTACACAAACACCATCCTACCTGCAGCTGTATCCTCTCCTGACACAGCAATGGAAGTTGCAGCTGCTGTGGCAGCAGTTTCAGTGAAAGGACCATGAGGATCAACAAGATGCCTGGTTGGACCATAAGAAACCAAGCTACCAGGAGGATATAGTGAGGAAGCAACCTGTGGAAAATGAGGATATTCTCACAAAAAAAAAAAAAAGCCCAAACCTGGTAGAAGTATCTCTTGGAGACTTTTGAGTGGCTGAGACGTGACTGGCACAGGCATGAGCTGGCTACCAGTATAGCTCCTACCTCAACGTAGGTCCCAGTGCTCACCTTAAGCAAAGCAGAAGACAGACTGCCATCCCGTGCCACCTAAGCTTGAGTGGGGAAACTTATTATTGATATAAGCAGAACATGTTTTCCCCCACATTCCCATCCTAGGGCAACAGCCTCACAGCTCAGGGAAGTAAAGTATTCAGCCTTTGAAACTGAAAGCAAGCTCCCTGGAGACAGACACAACTGATCATAAGGCCTTCCGATGGGACCCTGGGCCAGCTGCTGTGGGGCGTCCAGCCCAGAGGAAGCCGTACAGGCAGGACAGCAGCTTCCATTAGGTCCAGGAGAGCAGCTAGCACTGGTCTGTAACGAAGCGGGGCATAGCTCTGACTCTAACACAATGAACAGCCCAAAAAGAAGAGAGAGTGCTAGAGGTTTGTCTCCCTGACAGAGAAGCCATCCCAAGCCAGAGCAGGAGGATGCCACCTGCACAAGGGTAGAGGCCTCTGGTGGCTCACTGGGCTGTCTCCGTCGTTTTCTGTATCTGAAACAAAGTCAGACCAAGAAACTTCCACTCACTGATGTGGCTGTAGCACCTGTAGTTCTGAGCATCCACTTTGTATGATCTGCTCATACTGGCTTTCACCAATGAAATAAAAAGCAGCTTCAAATTCACCTCAAAATTACTCTCTTTCTGCAGTTGTTACATTTTTTTTAAAGTCTTAACATGGCTCTTTCAAGAGACACTTTCATTATTAAGTGTCCTTCAGATAACATACAAAAGGAAGGAATCTGTATTCTATGTTGGACTATTTTAGCATGGTCATATCCTGACAGAAAGCAAAATAACTGGCAAAACATATCTAATTACTTTTTTTTTTTCTTAAATTTGTGCTCCCCTGACAAGTGCAGCACATTATACTATGTACAAACAATACCTGAGACAGAGCTTAATGCCAAAGAACAAAACAGGTAGCAGAACAGAAAAACAATGATGAAAAAATACAAAACTAACTCCTCTTGAAACTGTTTGATATGGCACAAGCCTGGAACTCTTCTGGTGTGTTCAAAACTAAATTCTTGGAGAACTTAGGATCTGGTGGATTTGGTTTGTTTCTTGGGAGTCTTTCCTGAGTACTTCCAGTATCTTAGAGCAAATGTAATGATAACATATTCCAGTAAATGCCATGCTTGGATCTGCTGCCAAGTTTCTTCATGATTTAGTTCAGATACTCAGATCCAGAGCAAGCTGTCTTTGGTAACTTCACTTTAAATTCAAAGATCCAGAACTACTGTTTGTCTAGTTGCATAAACAAATGTTGAGCCTCGTAAAAAAGATGTGTGCTCCAGATGCTCAGAGGTTAAATAACATATAAATATGAGGGTTTATTTGTCTAATTAAACTCCCAGAAGAGCAAGAGGAAGGGGGGGTATATAAACAAACCAGTAAGTATCTACGAAAACCTTAGATGTGAAAGGCTGCTTCTACTATCAAAGTCTGCAATCTCATAACTTAGAACAAATGGCTACCTGGAACTATTTCCAAGAACTACTTCTGTTTTTCTCTGTAACCCTATCATGGGTCAGATGAGTTATTCCTATCCAGCTTATTTTTTTCCTTCTTAAAAAGCATGTTAAAAATCTGACTGGGATTTGCTTCCAGGTGTATCTACACTACAACCAAGATAATTCAAAGTACTGAATTCAGATACTTGCAAAACTCATTTTCTTGTGGGGTACCTGTCCTACATTCATTACTTCAGAATACATATCTTAGGGGACTGAAAGACAGAACTGAGTTTTAGGTTGGATACTTAAAACGCACATCTTCATCCCTTTCCAAGGATATGTCCAAGTATTACCTGCGAACATAAATTGTTGTGTTCCTGTTATTATTTCAATGTCTAGTCTCCCATCTGGTAATTGAAAACAAGCATTCAGCAGAGCTGCAGAAGAGCCCATGCACATAAGACTTTTGTTTGCTGAGCAATAAATTGCTCTTTTGTTGAGGAAAGCCCCCTTTCTACCATCACAAGGTTTAATGACATAGACTACCTAGAAACTTTGATGAGAACTAGAATTTTCCTGGTAGGATCTGCAGGTCTGGAGCTTAGCGATACTCACTCAGTGTGAATCCAGAAATACATTGCCTATTATGCACATCATCAGAGAGCTCTGTGCAATTCTCACCAGGAGAACAAGTGGGATTTCCAAATAATTTCATTATAACACTGAAAGTAAGTTTTTACAAATACGTTTATATTTGAGCTTGCTAGTCATACTAGAACATGCATGGTTTTAAGATAAAACAAGTCCCTTTGACTATAAAGCTCAACAAAGACTTTCACCCTTCAAAAGGAGACAGCCTACGTTTCTCAGATCAGGTCAGTCATTCCACTGACTTCCTGCTGTAAGCAGTATTCTGGAATGTCATCCATTCCCTGTTAGTGAAATCATAACTTTCAGTAACACCGTTCTAGTGCCACAGATCTTCTCTGGAGTCTAGATGAAAGTAATCAGTCAAGTCAAAAGACTTCACACGCAATGAGAGGAAAACATCAAGCAATCTGATGAATGCAGTTTGGAAAGTGGAGTAATGTGCTGCACAGAATGGTCTGCTTATAATTATCCAAAATGATATAGATATGTAAATTGTTTGCTTTGCATAACATGAGTACCTTTTTAAAAAGAGAACAAAACCCCTCCTACCTAGTATTTCTGAGGCTACAAAAGAGCAAAAAATGACACCGCCTTTCTCTCTGCTCCAATGAAGCTGGGGAATACAATGCACATGAAGATGTTCATAGCTTCCTGAAACTTAGCAGTGCCTCGGTGGCACACCTCCATCTGGAACTACCAGCCACCAGTCTGTCAGTGTAGGTGGTGAGACTGAAACACTTGCACTGTTTGCAGGCAGCTCTCGCTCATGAAGGAAGTCTCGCTGCTGCTCATACCCTGCCTTCCTTGCGTTGTCCCCTGTCTGGAGGACAACTCTTCCTCACCAATCCACAACCAGAACTGGTACCCTACCGCCCAGGCATGGCCGCAGAACAAGCTACCTTCCCTCAGAGGACAGCCTGGCTACCAGAGCAGCGCCCGCTCTTCTGTAGGAGCAGGCTGGGGCTCAACCCCTTACGGAGCAATGTTGTCAAACCCTCATCTCCTCAGCCGATCCGGCAGCGCTTCGACGGTGCGCGCGGATGCCGCTGAGACAAGACGCGTTCATACCGTCGCCCTTGCAGCCTGGAAACAGCCGGTCTGCCCCGCAACTGAACTCTCGGTCGTGCTTAGGATTCAGGGGTGCTTTTTTCTGGTGACCGACCCACAGCTGCTGAACTCAAGAGGCCTCAGAGCGCCTTCCTCTAAGCAGGCCCGCGGGCCCGGCAGCCATCCCGCGCTCCCCCGAGAGGACGCGCATTGCACGGCCCCGCCAAGCGCCCGCT